CGCCACGCCGCCGGCTCCGCCCATCGGCGCGATGACCCAATTATCGTCGACGATTGAATCGACCCACAAACCCATATAATGCTTTTCGTCAATTTCGCAGATTCCGCATTTCTTCATTTCTGCATTTTGTCATGGTCGCAAGCTATGACCGCGACCTTACGGAAGTCCCGAACAGGGCACATCATTGGTTGTGGATACTGATCGAGTCCGTACGACCCCCTCCCTTTTCTTGGAGGTTGGTACGACCCCCCCCCTCTGGCCCTCTGCCCTCCTCATCGAGGGGGGGGGGTAGCACATGTGAAACGGGAAAACCCGCAAGAAAAATACGCCCCATCCCTTCTACCAATTCTCAGATTTTTCCCAAGTTCCTGCCATTTTTCCAAAATTTCCCTACTTCTTCCCAGAAATTTTGCTGTCGAGGGGGTATACAGTGCATATGAAACAGGAAAATCGGCGAAAATTCAACCCCTTCCCCAGAAAGCCGGAAAGCAATATACGACCCCCCCCCCCTCATCACTTCCGTGAAGCGAGAAAAATCAACTATCAAAATAAATTTTTCTCAGCCCAAATACGACCCCCCCTCTCCTGGCGACCAAATACGACCCCCTGTTGGGGATTTCCCAACAACGATGGACCCCGGTCCCGAATGGGAGAATACTGCCTCACACGACGATTGCAGAGGTTTAGACGTGACTGCGGTCAATACAATTTATCTCACAGCACTTGTTCAACTAGCGAGTTTTCAAAAGAATTGCTTCTTCAATAGTTGAGATGGTCTCGGCGGTTCTGTTACGTTTGAGTTTCTGTGTCATTTATAGACTCTACTAATTGATCATAAATTGATATTGGTCATATGGTTCAATTGTTTGTAAAGAATACATCGACTGGTATATTTTCGTTGTTTGGTTGGCATGATACCCTAAAAATGTTCCGAGGAGAAATTATATTTTCTCATACATTTCTTTTGCTCTTGTTCTCAGCAAATATTTTATACTGGTAGTATTTACAGAGATGTCTGGGGTCGCTGGAGGAGCTGGAAAGAAGAGCAGCAGCCGATCAGTTGCCACAAAAACGCTTATTATTCAGGAGTATAAACGCCGATTGCGCGACAACATCCGCTCTCTGAATGACAACTTCATTAATATACTCAACGCCACGAAGGTTTGATTTTTGACTTCTCTTGCTTTCTCAGTACCGAAACTCAATCATAGTGAGCTTGTTAGTTTTGTCGATGACGTATCGAGAGCTGCTACTACTTCCTCAAATGGGGCGCCTCGGTGTGATAATTCGTGTATTCTCGATAGTCCCAATTCTGCACAAAAATTCAGGGCTGAAGAGCTTCGTTTCTATGCTGTTTCGCTGATCCTACAACGTGGTGGAGCTGTCAAATAGGTTCTCTGTGCTCAAGAGGCATGACGAGCTTCATACCACTCATTCAAAGCCTTCAAAAAGTCGAAGAAGTCTGCCCATCACGTAAGGCTGCGTTTATACTTTGCGGCAGCGTAGCGTAGCGCTTCCAGCGTACGCCAGCGGCAGTCGGGGAAAGGATAGATATCGATCTAGCGTTCCCAGCGTCACCAGCGTACGCTAGCGCACGCTAGCGTAGCGAGGGCACGGGAGCATAGCTATCGATCTAGCGCTCCCAGCGTTTCACTAGCGTTTCGCTAGCGCTTGCAGCGGCAGGGAGTAGAGACTATGGGATAGTAGGAGAGTATTCTGTACTCTCCTACTCTTCTATACTCTCTAGCGCCGCCGAGTATTTTGTACTCTCCTACTCTTCTATACTCTCTAGCCCCGCCGCTGGCAAACGCTAGCGAAACGCTGTGAAACGCTGGAAGCGCTACGCTGCCGCAAAGTATGAACGCAGCCTAAGCTGTCGTCCAGGTGTTTCCTTGACATCTCGCGGAATCCAGTCGATAATCATTCTAGTCCAGCGGTCCTTCAATGACGCTAACAGGCTCATCCTGCTTTCGTAGAGTCCGAGGATCCGTAGGTCAAAGCAGGAAGGACCGCGGAATCGAAGAGGTGGGCACGGAGCTTGATGTTCTTCGTCTTCTTCGCTACTCCCTCGATGTTCTTGAAGGCTCCCCAAGAACTCCCTTCCTTCTGCTTCGTTCTGGTGCTAAGTCGTTCATCATATCGATTTCCTTATTGAGGTACGCGTTACATGTGTTTTTTCGCTGGATAAGAATGCATCGGAAAGCATTCCGTTTTTCATGAACACTGTCTCTGTGTGACTTAGCTTCGAACAAATCACAAGCTTTGTAATAAAGAAGATGCTTGACCTGGTTTCAAACGCCGAAATGTCAATTTCACTGCATTTCGCCGGAAATTCGGTGGTACATTTTCCAAAACGCAGAGAGTGAATTCAGTTGCACGAGATGTATCAGGCGATTTATCAAATGGACGATCCAACAACTCTCTTGCTAATTGTGTTTTACATTCCTATTGAAGGCTCATCATATTGTCCTTGGGTTGGAGAATCAGTCAACGGGTATTCCTGACACTAGCGAATAGAATAACGATCTCTGATATGGTTTTTGAACGCCGACAGCTTCCCAAATTTTAGTAATGCGGCGGCTGGAGGGGCATTTTCTAAATCTGCGCTGCTTATCTTCACTTGATTACCTGCTACCAAGGTTTTTTAGATTTTATTTCATGAATAGGCTCTGGCTCTATATGCTAGTAGGCTACGACTGGTACTAACATACGCATGTTTCTTCAGATCAACACTGACGACGCAGCGCACAAGAATAG